GGGGGTGGGAGTGCGGGGTGGACGGCTAGAGCTGACCAACACCTTGCAGCCGCCCATCCTGGCCCTGCAAGCCGAGGGCCATGGGCAGGTGCCCAGGCCAAGCTAGTTCTGCGGGGCTTGCCCGGGGCACCATCTCTGCTCCGCCTTCCCCTCGGGCTCCCTGACCCGTCCCAGTCATCTACTCTCTCCTGGGACACCAGCAGAGCCGATCAGTCGAGCAGCAGCATTCGGGAGCACTCCGTCGCTCACCTTGGAAGGTAGGCCGCTCGCGGGGGTTCCCGTGCCAGCATCTCTGCATGAGGCGCAGGAGGTTGCTGCAGGCACGCGGCCTGGCTCTGCAGATGGGCGGCAGCTCCGGGCGGTGGCCCTTCACCACCTTCACCATGATGTGCAGGATGTTTCTCTCATCTGCAAGGGAAAGGCACACGAGTCAGGGCGGCTGGCGGCCAGGCCGGCCCCGTCTCCGGAGGAAACACAGCTGCGGGGCAGTGCCCAGGGACATGTCCGGGGCTTCACGCTGTGGCCTGGAGACCACTGGATTCCTTCTGAAAGCACAGAGCTTTCGTTCACCAGTGTTCTCAGGGCACGTCCCTTCTCCACCTTCCAGGTTTTGAAACGACCTAGCGGCTCCCAGATGGAATCCATGTGTTGTACCACAGGGAAAATCTTTCTGGGCAGCCAACTCAAAGGAAAACCGAGTTCAAAGGAGAGAAGTATCAGACGAGACATGTTCAGAAGCGGCCATGCCTGCCAAAGGGAGGCACCACGTACACATCCCGGAGTCACACTGCCCAGCCCCCAGGGGCACCCAAGTCTCCCTGAATTCCCCTGGCTGGTCTCCGCAGTGCTCGGGTCTGGGGTGTGCAAACAGGGGTCTTTTTCCTCAAAATTGGTAACGTGGGGCCCCACCTGTCCTCCTTTCCAACCTCCTTCAGAAACACACCTGGGCTCATGATCATATCGTCATCATTGTCATCTTAGTCACAGACTGAGGGGCCCCGGGGTCCTCGGTGGCCCAGACTCCTTTCTCTGCTCGGCCTAAACCACAGTGTCCATCAAACTGGACTCCGAGTGTCTTGTTCCCAACAGACCTCCCCCCCTCCAGTTCCCAGCACGCCCACAGGAGCTCGGGAGAGTGGGCAGATCAGCAGGTGTGGAAAATTGGCCCGAAATCCCCGATGGCTGCCAGGATCCTGCTCTGATGTTTTGTTCCACTTTCCCGTTAAGTCTTGTGCAATAACTATCTCAGGTATCTATACATTATTTCCATGAAACCTCAGACTTCCAAAAACCCAACAGGGGTTTCTGACTACAACGAAAGTAAACTAAACACCCGGAGGATGCTCTGCTCCCACACAGATGGAAAAAGTCCACGAGACGCCTTCCGCCCCTGCACCTTGGACTCCCCTATCTACCCAGCCACGGAGCATGTGGGCCTCGGCTCTCTACGGTAATATCATGTACCTGGCCTTGGGCGTTGCGTCCACCAGATAACTTCATGCCAGACAAACACGCTGCCACACACAAATAATCCAGACCATAAACCTCCGGGGGGGGAGTTAGGGAGGCCTGGTGACGGGTGGAAGGACAAGATGGACATGACCCTACAATGAATGGCCTCCTCTGTGTCTTGACCAGCAAAGGCTCCACGACCTGGGGCTACACGTTGAATGTGACCTGCATTTTTAGGTATTCTTGGTCAGGCCACAATCTTGTGAGTGGCCCAGATTTGCCTATAGAGGAAAAGAAGTGGCTCCACGCTCCTGTGGGCGTGCTGGGAACTGTAGGGTGGGAGGTCTGTTGGGAATAAGACACTCAGAGTCCAGTTTGATGGACAGTGTGGTTTAGGCCGAGCAGAGAAAGGAGTCTGGGCCACCGAGGATCCCTGGGGCCCCTCTCCAATAAGGCAAAAAAGTACCTGACTTTTACAGGGCATTAAGACTCCAAGGGCAGAAATCAGAACAGCGGTTGGCTGAAAGGGGCAAGAGGTACTGCGGCTCTGGGGTGGGTGTTGGTGACTCGGGTCACCCAACTGTGTCAAAATCCACTCAACGATTCTGGCATTGGGTGCCCATGGATGCACTTGACACAACCAAACTGTGCACTTAAAAGTGGTCAAGATGGTCAATTTCGTGTTACGTGTATTTTATCACCATGAAAAATTAGAAGAAAAAAGGAACTAGCTGGAAATAACTACAACAGGCAAATTCAGGGAGACAGCGAATTAGCAGGAGGTGAGGGTTGGGGCGGGAGGTGGGGAGTGACTGACTAATGGGCACAGGGTTTCCTTTCGGGGGGCTGAGAATGTTCCCGAACTAGATCGTGGTGGTGACTGTCCAACAATGTGAATGTACTAAATGCCACTGAACTGTACACCTTAAATGGGTGAAATGATTGATTTTAGCCTTGTGTATTATATCACACACACAAAGAATTAGCTGGCACCTAAACACCTCACTGACCAGAGCCCTTCAGATCTATGTCTTTTCCTCGACATGAGTCATACCTCAAGAGCACTGTCTGCCCACAGGACCACCTGCGATGAGGTGGCTGTGGGTCTCTGTGCCAACCTGGTGGGCAGGACAAAGCGACCCACCCCCACAGGACGGCCCCCACCATGGGAGTGTGGGCCGTGGGCATTGTAAAGCACAGAAAGAAGCCCGGATCGTGTCCCCCACTGTTCCAAGAGACAGAGGCACCCCCCCCCAAACATAAGTCCACTCACCTGCAAATGGCTTCTTCTGCGTCAGCACGCCCCAGATCACGATGGCGAAGCTGGAGGGGAATCGGCAGGTTAGTGTCCGCGAGCCGGGCCCCCAACAGAGCGAACGCTCTCACAGAAAGCAATGCGCTTGGAGAAAGCCCCTCCGGTCTTCCAAAAGGAGAGGGGACACCGAGGCGCTTCTCAGGAGGGTTTTTGTTTGTTTGTTTTGTTTTTTTGAGGGGTTTTTTTTCTAAACAGGCACATACGCTGCCTGGGGAACACATCCCATTGATGGCTCAGGTGTTAAACAATGGACAAAACCCTGCCAACTAAGCTGGAAATCCCAACACCGAGGGGGAACCCTGAAAGGAGTGCCACTGTCAGCTCGTGGGCAGAAGGGCCTGTGGGCTGAATTCACCGCCACCTTCCTGCAAACACTGGGCATCCCATGCCGACTGCAGCCCTGGGCCTGGCGGGTGACTTGCCCACTGGGAGTCCACCAGAGGGCCGGAGAAAGTGCACGGAAAGCATTCTGGCACCCAGCTGAGCCTCCCTGAGTCTTTTTTGGTTGCTGGGAATTATATACAGGGTGTGGCAAAAGTAGGGTTACATTTGTGAATACTCAAAAGTTTATTCTTGTATTACCATTTATTAATTATTGTATTATTTTCTATACAGATATCTGTAAACCTATTTTTTCCCCACCCTGTACAAATAATATATAAAATTACTCTGGATATACTAAAAAATAGTTCCATCTGATAAATTAAAAAAACAAAACAAAACAGGAGCCCCACCCTGCACTGAGTTGACAGTGGCTGTTTACAGAGACCCAAGAAGTCTCTACTGAATATTAACTGAAATCTATGAGTTCAAACATTCAAACTCTCCACTCTAAAGAAAATAATCTTAATCTCTCAAACTCTACAAGCCGTGACTAGCACCCCAAGTGCAGCTCACCAGCAGCCCACAGCTCCGAGCCCTGCTCAGCACATGCACAGTGGTTACTGTCAAACCAGTCTGCCGGGACTCAGCCAGCAGCAGTGACAAAGGCAGAAAGCTCCTGCGCTCTGGGGCACAGGGTCACAGTCACCGTGCGTAAGACCAGAACCACAATGAGGGGCTTAAGTGCAGGCCTGCACCCTCCCTCCCTCTTTTCTTCTCCAAGAAGTCTTTGTCATCAAGATCTTTACAATTTGGAAAGGGAAGGCCCAATGACTTGGGACTGTCCTCTAGGGCAGCGATTCCCAACCAGTGAGCCACAAGAATGTTCAAAATATGCAACACTTGACCATTTAGTCAGGGGCACTGACCTCTTTTCCCTTAGATTGTCAAATAAAAAAATGACAACAGCCCGGCCGGGCGTGGCTCAGCGGTTGAGCATCGACCTGGGATCCAGGCGATCGGGGTTCGATTCCCGGTCAGGGCACGTGCCCGGGTTGCGGGCTCGATCAATGACTCTCTCATCATTGTTGTTTCTATCTGTCTCTCCCTCTCCTTTCCTCTCTCTGAAATCAATAAAGA